TTCGTAATAGTAAACTGTAAGCTAATTAGAAAATATTATTTTTTATCAAAGTTTTGTAAAAAATAAGTCATATTTGTTTTAATATATTTCATAATTTGTTTTATTAATAAATAATTGCATTCAAATATACATTTTTATATAACATTATGTTGAAAAACTAAAAATATTAAAATAATATTTATTATAATCTCAGATTATTAATCTGTATTATAAATATTAATCCGTTTGACATAAGTTTTCAAATCCATTGGATTATGTATAAAATTATATGAATATACTTAATGACAAAAGCAATGTAAACCTTATGAATGAAACCATTTAATAGTCATCTATTGGTGGTATATCAGGGCCATCGCACCTAAGGTGATCCTGTACCCATGTCGTATGGATAGGACACGTTCGCTCGTGGATATACCACCCCTTACCAGGGACAAATTCACACTGGTAATATTTATGTGGGTTACTGGGGTGAGCCATATATCCATCCTTATTACACCAATAATCAGTACTAGAGGTGGTGTGTCCAGCAGTCTGTGTGGTCGGTGACTGAGTAGTAGGTGGGGGCGGGGTCGGGGGCATAGTTGTAGGGGTAGTGGGACGGGGTGTTGTGGTTGTTGTAGTAGGGGTAGGTGATGGTGTTGGGGCTGGTGCATATTTGCATTCAAATGACTTGATCTCATCGCCATTCAACATACGGTGCACTTTGTTCATGAGGGGTGACTTCCCGCCCCCACACCTATCCTTAAAGTCGTCGTTCTCGAGGGCCCACACCATACCTCCCGACAGTCCCATGGCTTTCAAGAAGGCGATCTGTAATTAAAGTATAATTAGCCCAATATTTGCTATATGAGTGCTTCAATATAATTGTATAATACTTTGCACGAAATGCTGTCCACATTTTCATAACCAATGAATATCTCATCGCTATAAGCATACGGAGCCCTATAGTATGGATCGAAACTGTTGTGCCATTTGGTGGGCTCTTTGAGTTCCAGTTGACATAACTTTGGGTAGAAATCATTTATTATAGATTTATAAGCTTATAATTGATATGATATCTGATATATACCTCATTATATCCCAACACTCCCGGTTCACCTCCGATGAAACCCTCGGGTGACATACCCTTTGCGATGTCGTGGAGATTATGCTTATCTTTATTCAATAAACTCCAGGCGCGACCATAGAAGGGCACTCCCATCACCATCTTCTCCTTCTTCATACCCAATGACAGGTAATAATTGATAGTATAGTTGACATTAAAGTATCGGTAATCGCCTTCTGTCTCATCGGGTCGGCTATAGAGTGGGGCGTTGTGTCCGAGAATGTCTTCCCAACCCCCGTGATAGTCGTATGTCATTATATTACCCCAATCTAATAGATCATTCATTTTACGTATGTCTGCGTACGCGCTGTCGATCTTTTGCTTTCCGGGTGAGAGGGCAGCCGTCAGGAGATACCCGTATGGGTTGAATGCAGCCCTCAATTCGGTCAACAGTTTCATATAATTTCCTTTGTCTGCGACCTCATCGCCCCCTCTGTTTGACGGGTACTCCCAATCGAGATCCAGTCCATCGAATTGGTATTTCTCGAGGAAAGTCAATACACTTTTCACGAATCGGGCTCTGTTTGCATCCTTAGCCATATCCGAGTACTTCTCTGAGCCTTCATACCAGCCCCCCAATGATATCATTGTCGTTAGGTTTGGGTTCTTCTTCTTCAGATAGACAAACCTCTTGTACGCCTCTAATCAGTGAATAAAACTGTTTTTAAAGACATAATTTAAAAGCTAAATATTTAATACCGTAATGGATGTCAAGCCAGTCGTCGAAGACTTGTATCTCATAAGTGGTTTCATTGATTTTGGCGAAACCATAGTTGATATGAGTACACAAATTATATTCAATATTATCAATGTCAAAACGATCTATTTTATGGTAAAATGCCCAGCTTCCGAAATAACATACAACTCGGTGAGGATTTTTAGTATAATCGTTATGATCTGAATATTAATAAATAAAGAAAATTAATTAATACTCTATTTAGCACTTTGTAATAAAAGTGATATACCTCTGGAGGCTCGGGTCCCCACCTGAACGGGACTGGAGGTGATCCCCAACACTAATGTCAGGACTAATAACAACGAAAATTTTGTCATTATTTTGGGCTAATTTAGAGCTCTATAATTAAAATCTAAACAACACTTTTGAATGTGAGTGAAATCTATTGAATCCCGATCCTTTTATATGAGTTGTGATTTTTCATGTGTTTGTATTTAATGAGAACTCTATTAGTAAACTCAAAACATTTCCATGTATTAGCGATATATAATCAGTAAATAATGAATAAAATGCCAAGTTCATTATAAATAAGACCCGGATTAATAACCCTAAATAAATGATTTCTTTGTATTGAATGCACTTCAGGTGTAATTCGCTGAAAACATGTCTTTGTTTTCATTATCTATTTTCTTAATACAGTATCAATCAATTGATTATATTATTGACAATTTTTTAAGATTTAACAATTTACAGGCATCACTATTACACTATTCGTTAATTTAAAATAATAAAAGCATAATACCTAAAATTATAAAAACACAAACATCAAGTTTATCAATTAAAAAATAATTAAACTAATTATATAAATTCTTTATTTAAAAAATACTATACTTTCAAAGGTTATGATTGCGCTTATGGTAGTTGATGTGTACAGTGTACATTTACCTATAATTATTGATAAGATATTACATTTTTCGATGTAACTTAATTGTTTGTAATAAACATTGATTATTAATTACGGTATAGATTTAAAACTTTCATGTTATTTAATTAAAAATTAATATATCAATATTATTGTATATTTTTAAAAAGGAGTAAAATCAATTACATTATAAATATATCAAAATCAATTTCAATTTTTATTTTCAAAGCTTAATTCTGTTTTAAAAAATTCTAATGAATTAATAAATAAATCTAAATAATAATTGAGAACCGACCCTTAAATATGCATCACTTTTATTTTAAATTATGTTTATATACAATGTTTTATATTATTTAAAATTGCATTCAATTATACATTACTGTTATATAAATCGTATTTAATTTACCGGTATTATCAAATCAAACTCATATTACAAATATTTTGCAAACTTAATAAACTTGAAGTCCATCACTGATTACTTGTCGCACTTTTTATGGGACTGATTCCAACATGTCTGAGCCGGGCAATGCATTACGTGTATCCACCAGCCATGTCCCGGCCACCATTCGCACTGGTAGTATTGGTGGGGGTCACTGGGGTGGGGCTTATAGCCATCTCGAGAGCACCAAACGTCAACCGGTTCCTCTGTGGTGGGAGCAGGTGTCGGGGTTGTAGTGGTTGGTCTGGTTGTGGTCGTAGGTCTAGTGGTAGTCGTGGGTCTGGTCGTGGTTGTGGGGGCCGGCGTAGTGGTTGTAGTTGTAGTGGTAGTAGTGGTGGTGGTGGTGGTAGTGGTAGGTGGTGTAGGTGCCGGGGCGAATTTACACTCAAGCGACTTGATCTCATCGCCATTCAACATACGGTGAACTTTATTCATGAGAGGGTTCTTCCCCCCCCGCACCTGTTCCTGAAGTCGTCGTTCTCGAGGGCCCACACCATACCACCCGACAGTCCCATCGATTTCAAGTATGCGATCTATAATTACAACACAATTGACGGTTAGTTTCAATTTGTTTGTTCAATATATTGAGCTATACTTTGCACGAAATACTGTCTACATCTTCATAACCAATGAATATCTCATCGTTATAAGCATACGGCGCCCTATAGTATGGATCGTAACTGTTGTGCCATTTGGTCGGCTCTTTGAGTTCCAATTGACATAACTTTTGGTAAAAATCATTTGTTATAGATATATAAACTTATAATTGATATGATATCTGATAAATACCTCATTATATCCCAACACTCCCGGTTCACCTCCGATGAAACCTTCGGGTGACATACCCTTTGCGATATCGTGGAGATTGTGTTTATCTTTACTCATGAGAGTCCAGGCCCTGCCATAGAAGGGCACTCCCATCACCATCTTCTCCTTCGTCATACCCAATGACAAGTAATAACTGACAGTATAGTTGACGTTAAAGTATGGGTAATCGCCTTCTGTCTCATCGGGTCGGCTATAGAGTGGGGCGTTGTGTCCGAGAATGTCTTCCCAACCCCCGTGATAGTCGTATGTCATAATGTTTGCCCAATCGAGCAGTTCATTCATTTTAGGTATGTCTCCATACGCGGCGTCTATTTTTGACTTTCCCGGTGAGAGGGCTGCCGTCAGGAGATATCCCTTCGGATTGAATGCCTCTCTCAGTTCAGCCAACAGTTTCATATAATTTGCTTTGTCTGCGACCTCATCGCCCCCTCTGTTGCCCGGATACTCCCAATCGAGATCCAGTCCATCGAATTGGTGTTCTTGGAGGAAAGCCAACACACTGTCGACGAATCGCTTTCGGTTCGCATCCTTAGCCATATCCGAGTACTTCTCTGACCCCTCATACCAACCGCCCAATGATATCATTGTCGTTAAGTTGGGATTCTTCTTCTTCAGATAGACAAATCTCTTGTAGGCCTCCAATCCCTGTCCCTCTGAAATCAAATCGTATTAAAAACCATTTAAATTAGATGTCAACCAATTATTACCATCTCTGGTGTCGAGATAGCGATCAAACTGTTCAATCTTATACGTGGATTCATTGATTTTGCCGAAACCATAGTTAACATGAGTACACAAATCGTATTCTATGTTTTCGATCTCGAAAGGATCCGTTTTGTGATAGTGGGCCCAACTCCCGAAATAACAGACCACTCGGTGAGGGTTTTTCGTGTAGTCGTTGTGGTCTTCATAGTTGTAATGAAAATATTTACAAATATTGTTTGACATAAACTCTCAAATCAAAGTGATATACCTCTGGAGGCTCGGCTGCCCACCTGAACGGGACTGGAGGTGATCCCCAACACTAATGTCAGCAGTAGTAACAGCAAAAGTTTGCCCATTATTTTGGACTAATTTAGAGCACAACTCTAATACTCTAAATGAAACTTTTAAGGAATGCTAAATGTATTGAATCCTAGCATTTATTTATATAAGTTTTAATTTTTCAAGAATTCGTACTTAATGTTAACATTTCATACCATTATTACCTTATTTTGCAAAATTCTGTTTAATTAATTAATTTATCTGTAGGCGATTCTAAGAACTAATTCAGGATTTTCATATTATAAGACTTTGTCAAACAATCAGGTTAGGACATTATGTACTGTACCGTACCATTTTCAAATGTACTATACTTATTAAGATACTCATTTCTAATCAGTTGTATATTTGTTTGGCACACACTTTTTTGCCATGCATGGCAAACTGCCATACGTGCCATACGAAATTGAGAGAGCTCCTTATTTATAAAATTATTATAAAATATTTATTTATTATTTTTTTTTAAAAGTCGTTTAAATATGTTATAATTAAATCAATTAATAATTTACTAATTATAATTGTAATCACATGTTAATAGCTCTCTCTCTCTCTCTCTCTCTCTCTCTC